GTCAGCCATCTAGACCAGTTCCCAATCTGATATCCAAAAACAAAAATGAAGGAGATTTAAATATGCTAATCTTCACACACCCATTAACATCTTATGCAGTAAGACAGCGTCTCCTACTTGTCACATGAAATGAGTTGCAGTGAAAATCCAGGTTCTTTGTTTGACAAAAAGGATGATTATATGCACCCATGCTAGTACTTTGTTGAGAAATAAAAAGTTCAGCAGAACTAGCACAATGAATCTCATGTCTTTTGAGTTTTGACACAAGGAATAAAAGACCAAGTGTATAAACTGCCCTGCACAACCAAAGGAAAATTAATCCTAAAACAGAAAAAATACAGTTAAAACAGTCTTAAGTAGGCAAGTAACTTATTGGAGTTTAATGTCAGTGAGGGAAAAAGACATGTTAAACCCAGGAAAGAAACATTAAAACAGTCAATTATTTGAGTGGTAATCATGTGACTTGTCTAACATAATGTCCAATAATCTGACTCTAAAATAAACCTAAGATGCCACAACTTGGATTGCTTACCGCATTTTTCAGTTGTGCGCCGGCACCAAAACTTGTTTTCCCAACTGGAATAGGGAGTACCATGGAATCACTTATGGGATCAGATACAGGATCTGTTGGGATGTCATCATGAGAGTCACGAAGAATAGCATTGAACATAGCCACATCTAGTCTGGCAACACATTGCTCCATTATCTAGGGGCATGATAGAGATCCATCAAAACATTAAAAAGTTAGGGGATAAAAAAAAGGGCTAATTCTCACCAGTTAGAAAAACTGTATCAGCTTAAGTTAGAAACAAACTACAGATAAAAAAATGGGAAAAGTGTTTTCTTCCCTAAAAAAAATTTTCTTCCCAAAGTTACAGTAGGGTCTGGCCAAAAAAAATGGCTGCCATGGAGAGAAATAAAGAAACTAAGCAGCACATAGCACCTTCAGTGAATGCGATTTGGTTAACTATGGTTTTTTAACTTTATGTGCTTTGTAATTTGTTATTGTGTGAGCCAGTCTGCTAATTTCACATTAAGGCACTAATATAAGTTTTCATATTCTCCTTTACCAGTGTCATCCCCTCCATGAATAAAGTATGTAAATAGGACACAGGAGAAAAATATAGGATTAAGGTACAAGCTTACCAATCGAGCCAGCATGGGTAAGCAGCCACACTCATGCCCCTCGGCTCGAACAGGACAGAGTCTTTCACAGGCATCCTTGAAAGCCATCTTCCAATGATCTAATGAAAAGTTTACTAGGTCCTGATAACACAAACTAGATGTCCTTCCATGGTTCTTCCTTGAGTCAAAACTAGCACTCTTATCTGTTGACTTTCTAACAGCCAACTGCATATGTGGAGTTAGAGTCTGGAATGGAAAGGAGAAGCAGAATTTTGTCAGATAACTTCCGGTTGACACTTATTTTAAGATGTATTTGCTACCAATCATTTATTTATTATGAAATTTTAAATACTAGGGGAGAAAAAAAAGGAATAATAACCTGCCACCACACTGATTCAACAATTCGGGAGAAGATCCAAGCCTCAATCCTTTCCAAGGCAGAAGTAAATGTATGTGGGTCATCCCAATCACCAAAACTCTCATGTGAGAGACTCCTATTTTCATTTTTATAGGAAGAGGAATCTATCCATTTCAGGGGAGATGATGCCTCCTTCCCCTTGCCACTGCCAATCTTTTCCATAGGCCCAGCAGAAAGCCGTAGCCCTGATTCCCCAGTGCTTTGGTGTATAATTGCTCGCAACACAACAGAATTTGACAACCAAAATGTCAGCCTGTAATTATAGGATGACATATTAGCTTATAAGAAATCAATTAAATTCCTCAAAACTTGTGATAGATAATCATGTTTCACGCCTCAAGCACAATGCTGAGACATAAACCAAACTCAGACCAATAATTTAGATTATGAACTTTGGCCATGCAAGGAGATATTCCAATCATACACTGACAACTTTTGCCTATTCTAAGAATTGGATCAGTCTTTTGAAGAAGCTTCAACAAATACCCACATATAGGCACCCACAGACCAGAAGCAGCCAGGACAGCATCATTGGACCACTACTTAGGTATTTTAATTTTTAATTCAAACTAATTAATTGAGCAAACTAGGACAACCCAAAAAATACAGTTTCAGATGGAAGAGAAATGAAAAATTGTTAATTCATATCACTGAATAGAAAGTAAGTGTTGGTCAGGAATGTTTAAGGGGAATAAAAAAAATAATAATAATAATAAAGTGATCTTACAGTACCTAGGGACGTCATTTCCACATGCTTTTGCAGCCAAAACTAGCCCAGAAACTGAACTTCTAGCTGCACTTGCTTTCCTTGATTTTAAACCTTCTCTACAAGAATGAAGATAGAGTCTAGAAAGGCGCCGAGCTGGGGCATGCATCTTACTCACAGAACTTCCATGCTCTGCTACCACTGAGTAAAAAGCAGCCTCAATAGCAGCTGCTTCTCTCAGTTCACCCTCAAGCAGCTTTATTTTTTGTTCCAACTGCTGGATTTTGTTATCTAAAGTGGCACCTCTAGTATCCTTTGGATACACATTAGCATCTTTTCTTTCATTGACTCTGAGGGGTCCAGCATCTCTCACTTCTGCATGCTGTTTGGTACTAAGTAATCCAATGCTCCTAGCTGAGTCTGATGATGACCGAACAGACTTCACATGCTTTAATCTATCACTTCTCAGGATATTTGCTGTTGTTCCAAGGGTCCCCTGGCCTAGGGAAAATGTATCCTGCGAATAGATGGTTGACAATTCATCTTTGTCACAGTCATTCTCTTGCGAACTCTTTCCATCTATGTTCCCCATAGAATTATTACATATAACAACTGAAGCTGAAGCCTCTTCTGAAGAATTTTCCCCATCTTTCCAGGTTTTTCCATATTCCTCCCTGTGAACCATGGAATCATTAAAAGCTTTAGCATCAAGATTCTGAAGAGCTTGGGAGTTGGTAGCTGAGGGTGCTTCTTTTGCTAGAGAACTGCCAGATGCATTTTCCTTGCTGTAACTATTAACAGCTGTTTCGTCATTGGAGACCATCTTGTGAATCTCCTGAGTCAAATTTTTTGAATCATTGCTCCTCATGCTCATATTGGCCTCTTCCTCTGTACTTTTACTAGCAAAGGATGAAGATGAAGCAGAGAAATGAGAATCATGGCTTAAACCATTATTTGAGATGCGAAAACTGGAATCATGAGAGTTGGAGATTAAAACATGGCTGTCTACATGGCTCTCATGATCAGAAGAGAAGTCTACTGATGATGAGCAAGAAGAACTCCCCTTAGCATTTTCACATGCTGTCATCTGTGTTCTCACGTTTGATTTCTCCAGCTGTGATTTTGAAGCTGAGGCATGTTCCCTTTTGACCCCTCCCTTGCTATCCATCACAATGGTGAATCCATTCTGCAATGAGGATGAAGCTGTCAAGGATGAGTGCGAGGAAACATCATCATCGGTAAATGATGCAGACTCAGCTTCCTCAGCATATTCTTCATTCATTAGATCAGAAACAGATTCAGTACCATTCTTGTCCAGTGATGCCCCCTTTAACAGTCTGCCTTTAGAGGAGCCTGTCCGACCCTTATCAATTGGCTGAATTTTAAAGAACAAAACTGGCTGAGAAGTATTGTTAAAGGTCCTCTTACAGTTCATGGAAACACTTGCGCTTAAGGACTCCTTCAGGATGCCATAATCAGCCAAATCAACAATGGCATTAGCCAACAACTGGTTTTTATCCCTCCTACGCTCATACAAGTTGAGCTCAAGGAAATTCTTCTGAAACACATCAGCATCCCTCCCTTTGACAGACAGTTCCTTCACAAGAGTCACAGGCAGCTTAAATGACTCATTGAACTCAATCTTTCCCTCTCCAACAACAGACCCAATTGAAGGTACAACAGTGTTAGTAGACCCTGAATTGCGTTCACCATTTTCCCACTGAATGAGGACAGAGCGGAGGGATCTCAGCGACTGTGATGGTGGCCAAGGCTTAATTTCCTGAATGTGGATGAGATAATCAACCTGAACCGTGGGACCTCTTCTGCTCTTAGCACTCAGACCCAGAACCATGACTACATAAACCAATCCCAACACGCTGGTATTTCACTAGGATGTTTCAAAATATTTCACTCCCCCAGGAACTTAAGTTCTACTATATAATGATTAATGCAGAACCATCCAGATTTCAATAGCTAATTTGTAAAAGAAAAAAATCCAATTTCTTTATTTTCAAGACCAAGGCATCATCAACATCAGGAACTAAGGAAACTTAAAAAGAAGAAACAAGCACAAAACTAACTAAAATTTTTCCTGGAAAATGAAGTAACGGAACTGATTTATTTAGCAGCATCATATCCAGGAAAAATCAAAATGTAGTACTGACTAAACAGATTCAGCACAATGCAGACATCAAAATGAACACCAAAACGAAGAAAATCAAATAGAATCAAGCATTTGTTTTTAGGGACGATAGTTAACTGCTGCCAATTAGGAGAAATTAAGCAGGATACAAAGTACCTTCTTTTGAAGCGTTCGTCGTCGCCGGTAAAAGAACGAAAGACACAGATATACTGCGAGTGTACCGAAGGAATCGAGGAAAAATATACATAAATATATAATAATTTTTAAAAAAATTAAAATTAAAAAAAAAAAGTAAAAATAATCCTTTTATATTAAATTTTAATATATTTTTAATGTATCTGAATAATTGTATTTAATGTTATTAATTTTAAATAAATGAAAAAATTAATTATTTAAATTATATATAAAATTATATTAAAAAAATTATAGTGAGACAAAATT